CGCGGCGGCAAGTGGACGCTGCTGCAGCTGCACCCGCCCGCCGCGTCGTCCGCCCTGGGCCGCTCCGCCGGCTCCGCTCCGCTGCCAGCGCGAGTTAACCTTGGGGCAGCAGTAAAACGAGGAGTGGCGGGGGCGGGGAGGGGCAGCACACCAAGGCCCTACCCCTCCAGTCCCATACTACAGAGCTAGGCTTAGCCTTTTGGATTACGTTGCCATGGAAGTTTTTGAGAAGTGGGCGCTTTCCGTACCCCGCCCACTAACCCCACCACCGCCATACCACCCACCCCATTACCCCTTACACCCCCAAAAAAAGAGGTCATAGCAGCGTGGGTATGGGAGCGGGGAGCGGAGCGGAGGACACTAGAGGGACCACAAAAGTGAGGGAACTTTGGATGCATTTCTGGGCAATGGAGCACAATGAAGGCAAGGGCATTGAGCACATCAATGGTTGAATCGGAAACAGTTTGGAAAGTTGCTGATTACGGAAAGATCCAATCATCCTAAATAGAGTTCTAATAATTAAAAGATGATCAGCCCAAATTTCAGGCATTAGAATAAAAACCATTCCTCATCGTAAAGCAAAGGGTAATGTAGTCACAGTACGGTCACATTTCTTTGTTAAATTCTGTGAAATACTCAGTCTTGATGACAACACTGAGATGATCTCAGTTCGTCAAAAAAAAAAGGGAAAAAAATGTGAGTAGAAAAGTAGAGGGAATGACAAGTGTTAATTACACTTGATTTACAGCCGCATTTGAAAGAAAGTCAAATATGTTGAGATTGAATAGATTATATTAGGCACCAACATAAGAACGATTTATTTTGAAACAGTACTATTCCCCTTATTGTTTTAGAGGCTTTTCAAAAAAGCTCAAACAATACCACAGCAAATAGTTCATTAACCATGTAAAGTGCTTGAAAATGATTGTAAGATTTCGGAAATAATCACTTTAAAGATTAAATGAGAAGCACAAGAGAAACCCGTGTACTGTAAATCTAGCAAAGGAATCGAGCGAACGGAGCTTTTTTAGAAGCACTGTTTCTCTGATGAAGTCTAAACCTAACCTCCCGACCCACATTCAAACAGACAACTTACCGAACGCCGATGGTGATTGCCGTTGAGAGGAGGGCGAACCACCTGCCTCCGCCATTCGTCTGACGAAACTTTCATTTAAACTCCGCATCAATTCGCCACAGCAACTTTGAAATCTCATTGTCGTGCGACGATCAACAGGCACTGCGGCTGGCGCTGGGGCAAAGCCATTCATCACATCACAAACAACACAACACAATCACACGCGCACGCGAAATGCGAGAACACAACTTTCGACAAAGTCCAACCGACAAAAAAAAAAACAGAAAACAAATGTGCACAACAATAAATACACAAACGCAAAATTTAGCGAGAAAAATAGGCGATAAACGAAGTAGCCAAGGTACCGCGGACCGCGACGGACGAAGCACGAAGCTTTCCCGCTCGGCCGCTAGAGGGCGCGGTACGGAGACACGGCCGGCAAATGGATTGCCTACCATCACGGGGCTCCCTGGACGTGCTGCTGCAGCTTGCCGGTCAGCAGCCGCACGCTCCAGAAATCCTTGTATGGTATTTTATTTTCCATTTATATATACTTACCTGCCAGTGTACCGAGGAAGAGCATGAGCAAGCGACTGCTCGCCTACTACTACCCTATCGGAGCTAGTGCTCTGAAAGTGATGAATCGGCTGCGTAGGGTGTATGTGCGTGTGTGGTGGGGAGGAAGTGTGGGGGCGGGGATACGTGTGCGTGCGTATGTGTTTGTTGATTGCGAGTGCGCCCGGTGCCCGCCCGCCCGCCAGCCTGGCCAGAGGCCCGCCCGGTGCACACGTTGCACGTGCCCGCCCCGCCAGCCACGCCCCGCGTGCAGCGGGCGCGGGGAACCACCACACCCCCGCCCGTACGTTATCTCTGCGCGACACGCTCCAAGGACCAGGCCGGCCCCAGTCCTCGGGAGGGAGAGAGGTGAGGTTCCGCCACCTGGTTCCAGCCCCGGAGCCGGCACAGCCGGGCGCAGCCCCGGCAAAGGAGCCGAGCCGAGCCGAGAGCCAGCCGTAGATTGCATTTCAATATTTGATGCAGACGGTAGCGGCCTCTAAGGACTCCGGGGGCCCCCCGCCGCGCGCCCCCTCGCCGCGCCGCCCCTCCCCGCGTGCACTCCGGGGACCCCTGGCTCACCGTGCAAGGAGCGGGGGAGGCCCCCGCCCTCCCCCCTTCCTTCCCCAGCGCGCGCCGCGGGCCCTTCTGGGGGCCGACAAAATATTATTTATTGCTCTTTATTCTTTTCGCTGTCTGTCCCAGGCGGTACGGTTGAGTGGGTAGAGGCACCGCCCTGGGGTACGCCAGCGCCAGCGCACCCCCGGAGGGGTACCCGCCACCCAGAGGGGTACCGCCCGACCACCCCCTCCGCTCGGGGAGCGCTTCCGGCCGAAGGCAGCCAGGAGGACCGGGCGAAAGGGGGTACAACACTACTTTCCCCACCAGTTTAGCCGAGTTCTCCCCAGCGTCGACTCGGGCTGAACGGTGCTAGTGAAATTATCATTGTGTGTGAGTGTGTGTTTGTGTGTGTGCGTGTGTGTGTGTGTGTTGGCACCGGATGGGCTCCACATGGCGGGCCTCCCGGTGCGGGCGGGAGCTCCAGAGCGGCGGCGGCGGCGCGGCTCGTGCTCACACCCGCACACACACACACACGCGCGCGCGCGCACACACACATACACGCGCGCCCGAGGCACGCGCATTAGCCCAGTGTGATGGCACTGACTGATTTATGTGCGAACACGCACAAACTGCGAGGCGCGGTGCGGCGCCTGTCTGCGAGGAACGTGTTCTCGGCCGCCGCGGCGAGCAAGCAGCCCCCACCAGGCTCACCCAGCAGGCCCACCATGCTTCTCCTCACAGCAAACGCGTGTGGCACCCACATCGGCGTCCTTTAGCAAACGTTTAAAATGAAAAAAAAGGATGTCAAAAAAATTGCAGGCACGGCATGGGGGGGAAAGTGAAGGTTCCATAACGATAGGCGTTGTGCCAGAAATCACATGTCCACTGGCCCACTGCTCGGTCGGTGGCGGCGCCTGGCAGCCATAGGCTTTGCGGCGCAGCAGCCACCTCCCCGAAGGCCGACGCGTGCGCTCGTGTGCGACATCGGGCAACGGCAAGCGCGCGCTGCAATGGAAGTAAGATCCGAGTTAATTAGCCGTGTTCATCGGAACACGAGCACTACAGCTTCTCCCCCCCCCTCCTTCCGCAAACCCCTCGCCAGTGTAGTCCCGACTATCCCAAACCACCCCCTCCTCCCTTTACGCGATGGTGTGCTGTGTCGTCTAGGGGAAACACTGGCGACGCCACCCGCAAGGGTTCGTTTGGGCCTGAAACCTCTC